GCCCACAGGCATGGGTTCAAAGCCCACTACAGCATGAGTCAGAGAATGAGACCAGGCTCCCTCCCTCCTGTCTGCTCGTCCCTCAAAGCAGGGATTTCCATGGCTTACTAGCCTGCTTCAGGAGAGAGGGGTGTTGAGAAGGGCAGAAGGGGCAGGGTCTGCTCATTGCTTAGCAGGCTTGCGCTGTTGCAAGAGAGGGGCCTAGAACCCGTGGACTCCTACTGTGCCAGTCATCTCTCAGGGGTCTCCTCTTGAGGGCAACAAGCCTCCAGCTTGCAGACACGGGCCATCCCTTGATTCTACCACCCCTTCGGGGGCTATTGTTCAGATAAATGCAAAAAGACCAGAAGGAAAGCTGGAGGCAGATGCTCTGTAGCCCAATGTGGGGCATGCTCAGAAAGGGGGAGAGTGCATCTCCTTACTTAGTAGGCCAGGAGGACTGGGGGCCTAGAAGGTGGGTGCACCTGACTGGGGGTGGGACTAGGAAGAAGGCAAGAGTGAGGCTTGATGCCCAGAATGCCAGTCACTGGACTGTGTCCACAGGGCAATGTAGCACCCAACCAAGTGCCGTCCTGGGCACCACCAGCCTGGGAGGAGCAGAAGACCTGAGGTTCTCACAACTCTCCCTGGAGGCCTTCGGTCAGAACAGATAGAGAAAGAAGCTCTGGGCCACCCTACCACTGCTGTCTCTGGGATGGCAACTTCGGTCTGTCCTGAGGAATAGCCTCGCTGGCCCAGCTGTAGGCTTCTAGGTCACTCTGTGGGAGGCCCTGGGACCTGAGGGAGCCGGGCTTCCAAGAAGACAAGCTCCCAGCTCTGCCCAGCAGAAACTGATTCTGAACATCTGCCAGCCCCTCGACCTTGACACTGCACTCCGTCATCACCCAAGCCTCTGTTCCAGTGCCAAATGGGAGTCTCCTAGATGGACCACAGTCTCTGGGGTGGTACCTGGTCCTGGTCCCCCGTCCCCCCCCCCCGCCGGCTGAGTCTAGCAGGCATAGGGGAGAACAACTCCCTCCTCAGGCCCCACACACTCTTTCAGGCCTCACCCCCATCAGCCCAGGCTAGAACAAGAGATAGGTACAAATCCTGTCCCACAGATCTAACTCGACAGTAAATAGGACTGTTATTTGGTCCCGAGAGCCACATCCTGGCCCTCAGAGTCCCTTCTACTTTGTCAATTTCAGCAACTGTTTAAGGAATAGCCTCTTCTCTCTTCTCTAAACATAGCCCAGAGTGGTTTTCATGACAGCCTGCCCATTCCTAGGCAAGAGAAGGTTCCAAGCACAATAAACAACCCCGTTACATAATGGGACGCCAGGCAGGGCTAAGTGCTCTGAAGAAAGAACAGAGCAAGATGAGAGAAAGGGATGCCTGAAGACAGGAGGGTGTTTCTGCTCTCTGCAATTCAGGAGGAGCTCCCGGGGAAGGGGTGCAGGAGAGCAGAGGGTCTAGAAGAATCAGTGCCAGGCTCACAGAGTAGCAAGGAGGCAGCACAGCCAACGCAGAGCAAGCAGGGAGAGGGGCAAGGCAAGTTCCGAGATGGCAGAGGGCCTGGTAGGACTCCGGCCTTTCCTCTGGCGGTGTGGGCAGCTACCGGGGGATTCCCAACAGAAGGGTTACATGATTGTCTCATTTTCTTTCTTTTTTTTTCAGACAGATTATAAGATACACACTTTTTTTTTTTTTTTTTTTTTTATCGAGTCTGGCTCTATAGCCCAGATGGGTTTCATAAACTCTTCGGTCTTCTGAGCTCTAGGATGACATGTGGGCCACCATCCCCTGCTATCATAATCATTTTTAAGTATATAGTTAGGCAACTGTTAAATATTCATTATAATGTACAATCGTCACCCCCAGTCACCTTTGCAACTTTCCACCTCTCAAGTCAGGGGCCTCTGTACCCATGGAACAGCTCTTCCTCCTTCCCCCTTCCAGCCCCCATAACCAAGGACACCCTCATACACTGAGGTGAATACCATGGCCAGCGGGGAGCAGAAATTCCAACTGGGACTCTGTGAGAGGGGATATGGCCACTCAGTTAGGATGGGGCAGAGAATGAAAACAAAAGTGGGGTAGTATGCGGTCACAGGGGCCAGAGAGTCTTATGTGGAGAGAGGTGGGTCAGGGAGCGATCCAGAAGCCAGGATAATGCTAAGATCTTAGCCAGAACAACTTGGTGATAGTAATACAGGAGGCAGAGAAGTCTGGGAAGGGGATGCCTGGGACATGGTGCATCGGGTCATGCTACATTCGAGTTATGACTAGCTGGATATAGAAGTTAGGCTGGGGACCTTTAAACCTTAGGGTCATTTAGGATGATGTTTAAGGCACTGGCCAAGACTGCGAAGAGAGAAAGCACGGTTGAGGAGGAAGCCCAGAGGCTGAGCCAACACACGGAGGAGAGAAGAGTCTGCAAGGGAGACTGTGGGAGGGGCTGTGATGAGAACCTGAAGAAGAGGAGGGGCTCAGTGAGGAGGGAGGGGGCCTGCAGGGCTGTCACGACAGAGCTGTGACAGTGAACCAGGAAACATCAGCCGAGTGGAGGAAGCTGGTCATACTATCAACAGACGACCTGGTTTCTCCCAGGAGACAATGGAAAAGAAAAAGGAGAGGGAGGAGCCGGTATAGATGGAAAGACTTGAAAGACTTAACCAAATGCAAAGCACGGACCAGATGCAGACAGATGATTCTGAGACATTAGGGGAGTTGGAATCCAGACAGGGGTGCTCTAGCGCCATGCCCTGCTATCTTAGTCATTTCTCTGGCAAAGAGAAAGCAGGGAAGGGCCAGCCTTGAAGTGGTGTGAGGTGGGAGTCCATGTGGCCTCGGGACTCTCTGGATTTTTGCAGCTGGCAGTGTCTTCTTATAAGAAGTTTAAACATTAAGGACAGATCAACTCTAAGTGCTGCTGAGCAGACCAGCCAGAGAAAGGCTAAGACAAGACCCCTGAGCTGGACAAGGCGGAAGGTGACCAATCAGAGCAGAGAGTGGGGACAAAATCTGGCTGTGCTAAGTCCCCGTTCGCTTATAAAGTTTGGAAATGACCACAGTAGCCAGAAGGCTACTCTTCTGAAGAATTTTGCTAACCAAGAAACGGAAAGGAGTAGGAACTAGAGAGGGAGGGGGAGGAACAATCCTCTCATGGACATAGATATGGAAGCGTAGTGTATTTGAGGTCAAGCACCGATGTGTGCTGGCTCAGACATGCATCAGGGAAGTGGTCAAGACCGAGGCCTGGCCAAGGCCACCAAATGTAGGTTTTAACTAAATCTCTAATGTTCTATTTACCAATAAAGATTCAGGAGTCAGATGTTGGGGTGAAAACCTGCTAGATCAGAGAGGCCAAGAAGCAAACAGCTGATCTTTGGCCAGAGACCCAGTAAGAGAAGCATCTCTCCATGTGTCGCGCGAAACAAAAAGACCGTGACTCTCTCAGTCTCTTCCTACACCTTCCTGCACATCTTTCTATCCCTACTCCTGGCTCCTCCATCCTCTCTAAGGCTAATTCCTGTCAGCTAGTCACTGGCTCCACTCTCTGATCCAAGGTTAATTTTATTAACACAGTCTCGGAGTTTCACAGTATGATCAGATATCCTGCAACAGAGAAGAATGTTTGACTTTTGCTAAGCCAGTTCATCCTGGTCACCCGAGTGGGTATCATTAGGCCGGCATAGATAACTGAGTCCTAACTGTCATTAGGTCACATGGGGGAGGACAGGTTGGGAGGGAACAAGACCCTGGACCACTGCAGTCTGCTGGCCTGGAGAAGATGTTTTCTGTGCAGCAGTGGGGACAGGATTTCCAGCAGGATACCTAGATCAATGTCTGCAGCCCCACTGCAGTTCCCCAAGCCCTGTCACTGGAGCTGAGCAGAGAAGACTGTCCAGCTGACAGCACGCACACCCAGCTGGCACCAGTTGCCCCCTACCTGTACTGAAAAGGAGAAGCCCCAGAACAGGGCAGTTGCCCTAAGACATTCTCTGTTCCCAGGTCAGCTGCAGGCCCATTCCTAGAGTCCTGGAGCCTCTGGGAGAACCAAGCCACCTGCTCATGCAATGCTTACTTTTCACACTGTGCTCTTCCATTAGGTTCCAAAGTGTCTTTATAGCCACTTGCCTATGGGGTCCCCGACCCCAGACCCATGGGCTACTTCCCTTGAGGAATAAGCACGCTGTGTGTCATATGTGACTCTTATTTATCTTTGTGTTACTCGGACAAAGTGCTTGACAGAAACAACATAGGAGGAAACATTCATTCCGTCTCATGGTTTCAGAGGATCTCAGGCCATCACAGCAGGAGGACATGGCAGAGTTCTTGGTGGACCAGGAAGGGTGGGACCAGAACCAGAGATCTGCCTTCGAGGGGCCCTTAGTGCCTACTTTGACCAACCAGATCCCACCTTCTAAAGGTCCCACAAGCTAGGCAGCAAGCATTCAAAACTGTCCCACTCAAATACAAACCACTCCCCACCCCAAGCACAAATACAAGAGAAGGTTCTATCACTTCCAAACTGAGTTCTGGGGACGGGATGCCTCCACTAAGCAGCAACTCTTGTGTTCAGCACAGGGCCTTCAAGGCCACTGTGAACTCTGCTTTAAACCGGTGAATGACTGTGTGGACACCTGGAGATGGGTGTAGCATGTGTGGAAGTGTTCCCAGTATCCACACAGGCTACTGTTAGAGCTGTCCCCTGTCCCATCTGTTTAAGGGAAGCTGGTTCAAGTGTGTGCCCAGAGAAGAGAACTGGATTTGGTGGCCTCGTAGCCAGTCTGAGCCCAAGAACCACGACAGCTCCTCCACTGCTGCCTCTGGCCTTCCCTTCCAGACCTCTTCCTTTTCCACATGCTCAGGCCTTGGTCCTGCTGACCCCAGCACCCCAATCCCGATCTGAGCCCCAGGACTCTGTAGCCTCATGTGGCACAAGTCAAGGCTCACAAAATACCAGCCATGGAAGGTCAGCACACAGAACATGTTTATTTCTTGTGAGCTTACAGAACTGTGACATAGAATAAGAAAGTGTGGATGACCAGGGACGGGAACAAAGGCCTTTCTCACTGTATCTCCCCTGCTTCTCTGCCCAGGCACACGTTCACCTCAAGGGTTAAACACACAGTTAGGCGCCCACAGCTGGAGGGAGCTGAGTGAGCAGAGGAGGGTGGAGAGACAAGATTCAGCCCTGCTAGACTAGGGTGGCAGGAAGAGTCCTGAAACTCAGGACCATGTGGGATGAGGTCACTCCTCCTTGCCCTACTAGCCTCTCAGTTCTGTCTGGCCAGCTTAGTCCCCCCACCACCCCAGAAAGAACACTGGGGTGCTTCTACCAGAAATGCTGAACCAAGAGCACAGGAAGTTTTGTGTGGGACATCTGAACAGCTGAGACCTGGGGCCACTGCCACTGAAGAACACCATCTTCCCTGCTCCTCTTGCCTGAGATCCCCAGCCACACTGAAGCTGGTCCTTCTCTTCATTTTTGGAAAGTAAACAGCCTGGACAGCCTGGCAGGAAAGCATCGGAGAGACTGAGCAGACAGGTAGAAGGTTCTAGAAGCCTAGTCACTTTACTGTCACTGTGGCTGAGGCTTCTCTGAGAAGAACCCCCATGTCACCTTACTACCCAAACTATTTTTGTCTCATGGGGAGAGCTAACCAGGCATGCAGGGGTTCACCTATGGGGAGAAGGGGAGCCCAAGGGCCCCTCTGGAGGGAAAACCCCACCTCTCTGCAGCTGACCAGGAACTGAGACAGAGTCCTCTCCCATCACCTCTCTAGGATGGCCAAGGGGATGGAGGCCAAGGTACAGGGAAGCCCTGGGGGACGGAATGAGGCTACTACAGACAGATCAACAGACAGACAAGTAGGTGAGGATGCTGGCTCTTCTCTCACTCCCCATCCCAGCCTCGGCTCATGGCTTGCACCACAGCTCCGTAGAGTTGGCTCCAGGCAGCCTTTGTGTCCGGTGTGAAGTCAGGACCCAGGCACTTCTCCAGCATGTAGAGCAGGGACTCACCCACTGTCTGCGGAAGCAAGCGGTACTTAGTCATGGGAAAGCGTCACTCCGTTTACAGGGCAGAAAGCTGAAGCCCGGGCCAGCAAGGGTACACGGGCTTTTCTCCTCTTCCACACAGGGCTCATGCTTCCCAAGCAGGTCCCGAATGTAACCTTGAGCATCACCCTGCGCCCACCTTTCCCTCGAGATGTGAGGATGTACGGCGGATAAAGCATTCATCTCACTCTTGTCTTTGCAAACACCCCATGAGGGGGGCCTGTGCATTGCCTGGAAACCGCTCAGACCCACCTCTGCCAGCGCCTGCAGATCGCAATTTCCCCACCTGCAAGGCGGTCGTGAGATTAAAAAGCCTAAATTGTGCAGTCAGGTAGGCGTGAGTTCACATCCTGACCAGCACTCGGGTCTGGATGGCCCGGAGCAGTTTTAAAGGAGAACAAAACCCCAGGTTCTGCGAAAGCTCTCTCAGCACGGCAGCTGCACACGGTGTGCCTTATCCAACAACTGAAATGAGGTTTATTTATCCCACGTGGATTACTGAATCTCTCCGAAGGACCAGGCACTGTGAAAATGCCCAGATGGATAGGCAATTAAGACCACCCCTTGTGACTGGTTCTGGCCAGTGGGACGTTAGTGGCAGTGGTGCCAGCAGAGGGTTTGTAAGCTCTTGCCCACTGAGGCTTGGTTTCCTGGTACCAAGCAGTCCTTCTTTGCTGAGATTTAGCTAGCATGAGGGAGGTTTAAAAGCTCACAGGTTCCCTTAGACATCCTAGCCCCAGCCAAGCTGGACTCAGCACATAGAGGACTCCAACCAGACTCCAGAGAACGAATTAAGTCTAGCCACAAGGACTCAGAAACTGCTTTAAGGGAGGACTCTGAAGGTGGTTTGATACCTGTAGAAAGATGATCTAATCAACTGATGCCAAGGGCCGCCAGGCCTTCTTAAAGAAGCCGTATTAAAGAGAACTCTGAGGTCTGAGGGGCCGGTCAGTGTCAGTCACATAGCGGGCAAGTCACTAAAGCAAGCCTCTGTTTCCAGCCATCTGAGGAAGTGGCGATGTGGAGGGGGCCAATGGATTTTGGTGGGGGATGGCTGGGAGAGAGTGGCGCCTGAAGCTCTGGAGCAAGAAAGTACCCCACTACCCACCGAGAAGGAGCCGAGCCTCACTCCCACAGCCCGGTGCTTCTTGCCCAAGCCGGCCAGGTACTCCTCCAGAGAAGACAGGTCCTCCACATTGGTGACTGCAGCATCGATCACCAGCATCACCTGTGAGGGATACAGAGGGCCCAACACAATCCTACCGCCTTCCCGCCACAGCCTAGAGCCCAGACTTCTCGACCAAGGAGGCCTTTAGAATGTTGTTGAGCGGAGGTGACAGGTGGCCGAAGTCTGTAGATAGTAAGCACTCGGTATGTCTCAGCTCGACGACCAAAATTCTGTTTTGAGGATTTCAAAACCTGCCACCTACGTGCAGAACACAATACTGCCTGCGCAGGACAGGGCGGACTGAGGTGCGCTGGAGGTCATGAGCCCAGCCTAGTTTTCATAGGCAGGCGGCTCCAATTGATCAAGACCCACTGATACCACCCATGGGAGCCAGAGGACAAGACTGAGAGCCATGTACCAGGCTGGGGCCAGCTGGCTGGAAGACAGAATGGGGGAGGAGGCTGGGTCCAGTCCAGAGAGACAGGAATGGGGTGTGCGTGCGTGCGTGCGTGCGTGCGTGCGTGCGTGTGTGTGTGTGCACACCAAAGCTGTTTTTCATATCCCAATTCCCTTCTTCCCTACCAAGACAATGTTCTGCAGATCTGAGACCTCATGGCTCTGCATCCCTCACCTTCCTAATGTGGCCCAGGAATTCTGGGGAAGAGAGACAGTCCTCAGGGCTGGAGAACTGGCGGCCATTGTACTGGAAGAGAGGCAGCAGGTTCGGTTCCAGGGTGAAGAGCCTGCGGGTTGGGGGCGGTATCATCAGCAGCGAGCAGCAATGGAGCAGACTCTGGCAGCTCAGAAGAAAGACGCAGTGCATTCCTAACTAGGCACTGCCAGCTTAGTCAACATCCACTCATCCCTTTTCTGGGCACCCTCCAGAGGACACTGTGTCCCCAACCTCTCACATTACCTGGCAGACCATAGCCCCTCCCTAGACAACTGAGGGGCTGAGTTCGGGACAAGCAGAAATCTCAAACCAAAATCTAGGGGGAAATTTCTCTTTTGGATCAAAACTTCCCTATGCCCTCAGATATGAGGACACTTAGCTGTGTGATGTCATGAAGAACACATCCTTGTACTACTGAGCACTATTTATTAGCTAACTGGAGTTGTGTATCTCCCATTCTTTTAAGCAGTGGGTTCAGAGGCAGAAACAGAAGCTCAGAGAGGCTAAGCAAGTTGCCTAAATCACACAGTAAAGCCATAGTGGGTACCAGAGTAGCGGGGTGAGGGGATGGGGAGTTGTGTCGGGAGGGAGTTTGAAATCATACAGTTAGCACAGCCAGAAAATGTCAGCCTCACTGGGGAGAGCTTGCGTTTTTGTGTCACTTGTGTGTGTGTGTGTGTGTGTGTAACTCAATTTATTCCCTTTTCATCTTGCAAGTCTTGTTCTGAAGTTTTGGACTGGCCTAGGGATCTGCAATGAGAGAGGGAGTGCGGCCCTGTGGTGTTGGCAGAGCTGGAGGTGAGGCTGAAAACCATCCATCCTACTGTGGGTGCCCACCCATCCTCTCCGTCTCTTCCGGGTGGGGAGAGTGGATGCCTGTCGTCCCTCTTCTGGAGCTTCTTTGGTTCTAAGCCTGTATTTTCCTCAGAAGGGTTCATCTTGCTGGTGACTGGGCGTGAGCTCACCTGGCCAGGCCTCCTTCCACTCAAGGGGGGGGGGGCGTGGGAGCCTGTCCCACCTATCTAGGTGCCTGCACACCCCAGCTGACCTTCGGGTCACTCATCTCCCTCCTGCTGGCCCAGCTGCTGTGAGCGACCCTGCAGTCACTACCCATTGGGATATCACAGGGTAGAGCAGGGAGCACTGCATTCACCTGCCTGGTCGGTGGGTGCGGGTAAGGGACCCCAGAAGCCCCCAATCAGTTCAGGTGGGAGCCGCTAACTGGGAAGAGCAGATGGGACGGCACCACCTGTCGCCGCGCACACACCCCTCTCTCCGGAGCACCACTGCAAACCGGAGGCGCGCGGGGTGGAGGGGGCGTTTCTGCTCCTCTCGTGACAAGTCCACTGCTGCCAGTCACCCCTCCAATCGCACCCTGGGGTCCGGCAGCACTCACCTGGAGAACAGGACAGTGCCATGTTCCAGAGGGCTGCGGTTCACCGTCCGCCAGCTCTGCCGGATCAGCTCCAGCTTTGGGCGCTCCATGCTTTCCCCGAGTGATGCTGGACACAGGGATGGGACCCTCAGGGCTTGGGCGCAGTCACCACACGTGCAGCGCCATCTCCGGGGCGACGCGGGGGGGGGGGGGTGCGCGGGGGGGGGGGAGGAGGGTCTCCAGGCCCAGTGCTTTAGTCGGGAGGGGTCCAGCTACCGCTTCGCTGGTCCAGAGGAGAGAATGCGCACCCCTGGCGCTTCCGGGGTACCCGCTCGGGCAGTTGCGCCCTGTGTCCCGAAGCTCCCAGGAGAACCGCCCTTTAAAGCTATGGTGGTTCCCACCCCCTCTGGCTTAGAGAGGTTTGTGCACTCCCTCCGGTACCCGCCTTAGGCAGGAACGACCCGAGGCCTGGGAAATGTCCAGGCTTCAGAGCCTAACAGAAATTGTTGTACCTCTGGGCTTGTTTCACTCTTGAAAACTAGCAGAGCTACTACTTATCTGGGCTAGCCTAGAGGCACTCACAGAGATCCACCTACCTGTCTCCCCAGTGCCAGGATAACAGGCGTGTGCCATCATTCCCAGTTTTTTTGTTTGTTTGTTTGTTTTTAATCTGAGTGCTGGGGTTTGAACTCAGGGTTTCACACTCAAAGAGCAAGTATGCCCACCGAACCATTTCCCAAGCCCCTGGTTTCTTTGTCATTTTAGTTTTGGAGGGTTTGGGGGGTTTGTTCATCACTGTTGTTGGTTTTTTCCTGATTTTCAGTAGGTCATAAGATGACAGAGCGTGGCTTTAACTCCGTGCATTTCTAGTTATTTCCGTCCTGATCCAGCAGGCCTGAGACTGAAGCCTACAGTTAACTTACTTAGCCTACAGATAGGTGTAGCTTGGGCTCTTTCCCTTAAACTGAGAACCTTTGTAGGCCCAAAGTTAGACCCAGGGCTTGAGCAGAGGACAGACAGACAGACCAATTTGATGGCCTGGGTCCTGCTAGCTGAACTCAGGGACTGTGAGCGTTTTCCCGTGGAGAGCTGGAACTCACTTTGAACGCTGGGCTCCTGGGCTCTTCCTCAGAAACAGGCAGTGATTATTACTGGAGGGGAGTGAGGCAGTCAATCTATGTAGCCCAGGCTGACTTCACACACACACACACACACACACACACACGAGCCGGGGCCTGGTGACTGTAATACTAGCACTGAGAAGGTGGAAGACTAGGGTTTCTGGGGCTAGTTAGCCAGTTCAGTGAGCTCCAGGTTCAGTGAGAGACTGCCTTAAACTATTAGTTGGAGTTCCTGAGGAAGGCACATAAATTAATACAATTTTCTAAAAGGGGCTCAGGTAAGTCCTGTGCTTGTCACTCAGGGTCTGCAGCCGGCTACCGGTCAGTTAGCACTGTTCTTTCAAGCATGGAAGTTCTTTGGCCCAAGCCCAGTTCCGCTGGCTCAGGCATTGGAGAGCACACCCCCTTTATCTTCCACTGTTGGCTCTAACTTCTCATCACCTCTGCATCCTCATGTTCTGGAAGGGTTTGAGTGGGAAGATCTCTAGAGTCTTGTTGCATGGATTCGAACCAGTGTCCTTGGTCTTCAGTTATGAACAGACTGTAGCACCATGCCTTCTAGAACTTCTTCTGGTGGCCCATCTATCCTGCCCCCACCAAGCTCCTAAGACTGACATTTGGGACTGGAGCAGGAGAACAAAGCTTTAGGGCAGCCTGGCAAAAGCCCATGTCCCAAAGAGTTCAGGAGACCCCAAGCAAGAACACGAAGGGCTAGTTAGTGCTTTCTGCAGCCCACCTGGCCAGTCTGCACCCTCCACTCCACTCAACCTCTACTTCCTGGAAGTCTTCACTCAGGGTCCTTGCTGCCTTTTCTCTTAACTGCCTCTGAGATCTGAAGAGTTGGTGGGAGTAATGGGCTTATGCCCTACATGGAGCAACTAGCACCCAAGCCCACAGTTCCTCTCGTCTTCCCGGAGACAGAGTGACAGAAGGCCTAAGTGGGCTCTAATCTCTGCCCCCAGGATCCGGTGTGGCCTAAGCAGTCAGGGTGAGGTATACCCACCACAGATGATCTGAACTCTGCTTTAAGGGGCTAGAGAGATTTCTCCTCCCTGTGGGAAATTCAAGTCACAATCTAGTTCAAGTGTTCTCTAGTCAGGGCTGTCAATGTGTCATTAATGTCCTTAAAGAACTAGCAGATTGGGCATGTGTCCAGACACTGTGCCCATTAGCTGTAACCTCCCAACAGTCCTGTGACCCTGTAAAGGAGATGCTCTTTATCATACTCTTACCTCACAGTAAGGAAATAGGAGGCAAGGAAGTTAGCTGGCCCAGCTGCACAGTTAACGAAATGAAGGGGCCAGAGTTTGACCTCAGTTCTGATCATCTGGCTTACTCTCTCCACTGCCTCCCTCAAATTAATAGGCCACAACCAAGAGTCATGCCCATAATTCAGACTGAGCCAAGGTTACTGGGTCTGAGTCAGTGCAGGGCTAGAATATAAAGCCTTAGAGCTGACTATGCACCTCTTCCCAACTTCTCACTCACGGACATCAAGTTGGTACCTTGAAATGGCCACAGAGGCAGCGTTTGTACCACGGAAAATGGCAAATGCTATAAGCTAGGGCTTAGTTTTGCCCCCACAGAAAACCTGCTGTAAAATATTTACCTCCACCGGGGGAACCCAGAAAGCCTGGGTCCCAGTATATTATGCAGAGTGTGCAAATTATCAGGCTGAACTACAATACCCACAAGCTGTGCCTAGCCTCATTTCAGTGTCCAGGGCTACAAGGGTACTCTAGGCATGTTCTTCCAGTCCAGAACCAGGCTGGGGCTTCAAAGGCCCCCTTTTGCACCAAGTCCTGCCTCATATTTCCTAAATATGGATCTTTAGGTGAGTAATATAATCTCTCATGGGTACAATGGCAACAAGGATGGTGGCTTCCCTGGGCCTTCAGGAGGACTAAATGTCACGTGTATTAAAATGATGTTAACTGGTTGGTGGGGTGGCACACGTATTTAATCCCAGTACTCGGGAGGCTGAGGTAGGCCAAGCTCTAAAGTTGAGGTCAGCCTGGTCTACAGAGCAAGTTCCAGGACAACCAGGGCTACACAGAGAAACCCTGCCTCAAAAAACAAAAAACCCCAAACCAGATGTTTCCTAAGCTTTTGTCACTCAGACAATTTGGTTCCTTTCTGATTTGCCTGTCCCTGGCATCTTCCAGAGTGATGGGAATGACCTATCTTCCTCCCTAGCCTGCCTCCTGCCTTATGGTCCTTAGTGGGCTGCAAGGTAATCCAGAAGACTCCCAGTTTCATAGAGGCACTGATCCCTTCAACTCTGACCTTAAATCCAATAATGTCAGCTGTCACCTTCTGTATATTCTGGGGCAGTGGAGGAAACCCTGAATGAATGACTATAAGGTGTAGATGAAGTCCTGAGTGAACGTGTATTATTAAAAAGGACCTCAATGCCTCAGACCCACGGGGATTGGCAAAGTCTTCCTCTGGTGCCTGTGGGAATGTTGACAGAGCATACAGAAGGCATGGCCCCCAGCTACTCCCTTCAGGACATCTCTTCCAGCAGGCAGAGACTGCCCCTTACAGAGCCCTGACTGAGAGTAGCTAACTCTTCCCATGTTGTGAGCAATAAACACAATGAGGTTCCAGGCAAGTAGCTGGTGCATCTCCATCATAACTCACATGTCCCAGTTTTTCTGTATGTGTATCTGTTATTGCTTCATTTCTGCAACATCCCAGTCAGGTTTTCAGTACCATGCCCTGCAGGGCAGGGTGGATCCTTTATGGCCGGCACTCTCACAAAAGACCATGTCAGGATGGGGCCCTCGTTGACTGGAACAGGAATTTGCTACCACACTGGGTCACATAGATAACTATCTCAGAATTAGGGGGAAAATGGTTCCCTTATTTCTTTCTATACTGCCTGGAGAAGTTAAACAAGAAAAAGTAGGCTCAGTTTCTTACTGGCTTTAGCTTAAGGAATGGAAACAAGAGCCACTGTCTCTCAAGTAAGCAAGTACTCAGGAAGGCCCATATTTCCCTGGCTTTAAGCCAGAGCCTCAGCTGGAATGAGAATGGCCCCAGCCGTGAGATACCATGTGGGACTTGCCATCTAAACATCTTCTCAAGGGCAAGTCAGATCTAATTAAGCACAAGAACATAGTGTTGAAAACAAGAGCTATTTATTACAAAAGTAATGGTCTCTGATTACCTCTAGAAACTTAAAAAAAGAAAAGCAAAGAAAAAAGGTGTGGTGAGTCAAGACATTGGCTGGGTTAGGCCGCTTGGCACATCTTCCTTCTTGCCAGCAGTCTGAGATGTACATCTCTGTCAGTTCCTGATGAGTGCAACCAACATGCAAAGCAGCACCTAGAGCCCACTGCCCCTCCATCTTCCAAATAGAACCCAAGTATTTAGTGATGTCACCAAGTGGCCTTTTCCCACAGGAATGTATGCCAGTTTGGGTATGGAAGAAGAGGGAGTAGGTGGGGATCACTCTTCTTCCCGTACTTGAACCAAGAGACCCCTTCTGTCCTCAATGTGACATTACGGAGAGGGACATGTTGGAGCCCACTGTGCTCTCCTACCCACTCTGGCTCTTGAAGGCTCCCCCTGGTTACTTCAGGGTTCCTTACCTCTAACAAGTACCTCCAGAAATAGAGTACAAGAAAAATTAGCCACCTGTTAGATGCCCCATGGGCTACCTTAAGAGCCAAACACAGATTCCAGCATCCCTCTCAGGAGAATCTACCCAGATTGTACCCCACGGGGCTCAAAAGCAACCAGCCCAGCCTGGGACTGCAGGGAAAGGTCAGGGAGGGCAATGGGAGCAGAGTTCCCCAGTCCCTGCAAGAAATGCAATTAAACAGACAGTTCAGACTCCACACACAAGCTGCACTTCCTGCTGGGAGGAGAAGGGAAGTCAAAAGGGCTGCAGTCATGGGAGAGGATGGTCAATGGGCCTCAGATCTAATTAGCTACCTTGGCTTGCTCTTGACAGGGCTGCATTTCCTCTATTAACATTAATGATGCTCCAGCTGAATGTCCAAGCAGGGCCCAGAAGCTTTCCTCTCCACCACTCTGTAGGTAGCACAGCCTGTCCCTGAGACCAATTTCCAGTCTCCGTGGCAACC